TCCCCATTCATTACAATGGGATGGTTACTCTGGCACCTAATTAGAAATTTAAACATCAGCATTAATTTTCCTGAGTATAATATCAGCAAAAGCATCACACTCCTATGCTTTATTTGGTGTGTTTGATTCATTTGAAAAGATTGACATCAGAGGAGTGAGGTTACACATTTAAAGATCAAAATAATGGAATGTTCTACGTAATATTTTTGGATAAATCCGCACCCCTTGGACTGGCCCCTTTGCATGGCTTCTCAGAAAAGTTGCCCATGCCCACAGTAGGCATCTGGGGATTTCCTGGTGTAGGAGATATGGTGGAGGGGTAGGCCCTGTCTGTGATCCCTGAATGTGTAACAATAAAAGATTCATTGAGGCAAGGCTAGGATAGAACCGTGGTGACTCTGAATTATGATTCCAGGATCAAGGGAGTACAGATGTGAGTTAAATCATATTATCCCACCCCCACCCTCAATCCTGCAACAAATGTTGCTTAGCTGCACACAATGATTTTTCCCATGTATTCATTTATTGTTGATGGTCCTTAACATTGGGATTGGAGAGGGAGGACAAGAGAAAAGATCATTCTGGGAGGGTTGAGAGATCCCTATAAGAATAGAAACATGAAAAACAAAATGAAAAAGTATCAGAGGGGAAGCCATATTAGTCTGTATCCACAAAAACAACGAGGAGTACTTGAGTTTTTTGCCCACAAAAGCTTATGCCCAAATAAATCTGTTAGATCTCTGACATATATGATGGCCTGGTATCAAAGGTTTTATTTGCATGAGTTTGGGATGGCTTCACTACTCACAAGCGGTGAAGCACTAAGAAGGTTATGTAGAAGGGATTATGTCTTCCTACGTCTTTGTACGGTGCTTAGAACAATGGGGCATGTTATTGTTTATTTTATTATTGCTATAGCTATTTATTGTTTGCATTACAGCACTACCTCTTCAGAACTGAGCCCTTTTGTTCTAGGTGGTGTATACACATGCAAGTAATTTATAAGAAGAAAACACTAAGAAAAATGTAACTTTTTTTGTTAATTCTTCCACAATGATGCAAATAATTAAACATTTTATTTATGTTTCTGTAAGTATTTTGCAAGACCTAAAAAGACAAAACAAGATTAAAAATAAAGCTGCAGATTTAGAGACACAGGAAAAAACAAGTCTGCAAACTTCAGTGGCTGCTTTGATGAGTAGGCCTACCTTGCATTCATTTAAAATTATGGGCCAGTAGAGCTGCACTGATTTACATCAACTGAGGGTTTGGCCTGTTTCTTTAAGTGTAATATAGAAAACCTGCGTTCAGTTCCCTAGTCTCTAAACCCCTGTCTACAATACAATAATCACTGGGCTAGGAAATTACTCTTAAATATGTTTTCAGTAGCATACTTGCCACCACCATGGACAGAATATTACATAATTAAAATGAATTTTAGGCAGTAACTTAATCTTGATAATGGATTTTCAGAACCATTCATACTTTTTGTATGGAGGTGGCAAATATATGCTAACTGAAAATTGCTGTTTTTTTTAATGGTTTCCTACTGGTGCATTTTGGGTAGTGTAAATCTAATACCTAGCTCTTAAAAAGCGCTTTTCATCAGTATATCGAAAAGCAAGATCTTTATAAAGGAGGGAAGCATCATTTTCCCCATTTTCCAGATTGGAAAACAGAGGTCTAGACAGATGAAGTGACTTGTCTGAGCTCACCTAGCAGAGCAGTAGCAGAATCAAGAAAAGAACCCAGTTCTCCTGAGACTATCCATTAGGCTGGCCATGTTGCCTGTACACTGTGTAGCCAAGGATTAAACCTGGAGAAAATGGAAGGGTGCCTCTGCCAGTGGGGTGAATGAGAGAGCTGATCAAATCCAAAAGAAGTCATGTTCAGCCTTCTTAGGATAATAAACTGTTTGACATAATGTGGGGATTGGACATAAAAAGTAGGGTCCCAGAATAGGAAAAGACCTGAACAAAAGTCTGGATTCTTTGCATTGTGGGTTTTTTGTACCAGTCTACCACGGGTAACAAAAGTAAAATAATCTGAATTCTGCATTTTCTGAAAGACAAATCTGAATGTATTCTCAGAAAATCAATCCCTGCTCATATATCATAAAGTAGTACAACACTCTCATATTCAATCACCAGATCAGCTAACCTGTTGATACTGAATGCTTTACTCATTAGTTTGCTGTCTAAAGACATCAAGGACACACATTAATTAAAAAAAAAGTTACTAAGAATTTTACTATACATCAATGCTCAACTCGAATATTTATTCTCTGTATTTATTTGTTGCCTATTTTTACTTACTGTGTGTCTTAGCCTGAAACAAAAGAAGTACACTCTTTTCACTCTTTGCAACTTTGTTAAATATATTTACCTTGTATTATAGAAATATTTTTTTTCTGTTTTATTAAGTGTAGGAGGCTCCAAACTCAAAAATACCATGTTTCACATAACTGCACACTCAAATAATTCATGTGCAAGTAATAACACTTAGCTCTTATATAAAACACTTTTCATCCATAGACTTCAACACATGTCTCAAAGGAGGGTAAGTATCATTATTCCCACTTTACAGATTGGATAACTGAGGCACAATAGTGAAATGAGCTGCCCAAGGTCATATAACAGATCAGTGGTAGTCCCAGAAGTAGAATCCAGATTTCCTGACTCCTAAACCTGGACCCAGTCTTCTGGATTATGCTGCTTCTTAAAAGCATTTTAACCAACATCCTCTCAGTACAACATCTGTGGATTATAGTGAAAGAAGGCATCCTCCCCCACAAATCGTGGACTGGCAATGGAGCTGCTCCATAGCCACTATTCCAGTGTAAAGATAGAAGTAGTTTCTGCTATGCATATGCAGGGGAAAGGACCGGAGGAGATGCATAGCAGTGTATACCCTGGCAGAGAAACTGCCTGGCTTTTGCCCTTTTGTATTTCTACTGACCAACTGTGTGTTGATGCACAATGAGGGGGCTGGCCATAAGCCGGAACTCCTGCCTCTTGGGCCTTCCCATGAATGTGCGCAGGATTTTCCCCTTTTTGTCAAAGACCTCTGCTTCCACTTTTTTATGTCTAGTGTGATGGGGCAAGGCCAGATGGCTATAGGAAAGTAGTGAGAAACAGGTATGTTAGCCCCCCGCTAAACAAATCTCTGTTACCATGGTAACCAAATGGCCATTGTTCCAGGTTAATCAAGACACCTGGGGCCAATTAAGATCCTTCCGGAAAGCAGTGGAGACAGCTAGGTTGATTGGGATACCCGAAGCCAATCAGGGGCTGGCTGAAACTAGTTGAAAGCCTCCCATTTACACAGGTGGGGGGGCAGGGGTGTGTGTGTCAGGAGCTGTAGAAGCGAGCCATGCTGCTGGAGAAACAGAGCAGTACAAACCTTATCAGGCACAACAAAGGAGGACCTGAGGTAAGGGTGACAAAGATATTGAGGAAGTGGGGGGCTGCTGTGGGGAAGTGGCCCAGGGAATCGTACTTGTCCTGTTTCCAAAAAGTCAGCTACCAAGAGCTGCTACTATCAGGGTCCCTGGGCTGGAGCCTGGAGTAGAGGGCGGGCCCGGGGTCCCCCCTTCCCGACTAATCACTGAGACTGGGAGACAACATAGACTGTGTGAGGGAGGATAACTCTTCCTCACCTCCCTTGCTGGCTTATGATGAAAATGGCTCAGTAGGCTGTGAGCCTTGCCTCTAGAGAGAGAAGGGCTATGTGGAGGGTCACAGTGAGCCTCTGGGGCTAGCATAATCTGCCAGGAAGTGCGGGACCCACTGAGACAAGGTTGGAGCTTTGTCACACTAGCCATGTCTGTGTGTATATTTATACAGCTATATACCTGCATTACAGATGCAAGGTTTAGAGGCAGATCTGAATTCCCTTGGGGTGTTCAGATATAGAGTTTTAGGCTGATCACCTGCCACTCCCCTAGGTGTTTACTAGTAGAGTAAAAACTAAGATAACCCTTATTAGTGAGATGAGATAATAAATTAATAGATTTCCTACATTTCAAAAGGCAAGCCAAAGCCTTAAGTCCCATTAACTTCAGTGAGACTAGTAACAGAAGTAGCATTGCTATAGACTTTGGTGATGAAAATACAATTAATTTTCTCTGTATTTGCAGTGGATGGTGCATTAGTAAAAGAAACGTGATGAAAGATTATATGTGGAGGTTTGTTGCTGTGCATACAAAGTACAGCTGGAATGAGCATAATAAAGCTGTACTTTCCTGCACTGCCATTTTGCTGCTGCATGTGATGCATAACCATGTTGCTGCAAAAATTCCATCTGTTGACCACAGGATCACTGCATGTGTGGGCAAAAAAAACAAAAAAAAAGTCTCTCATCTCAAACACTCCTTGTCTCCATGCTATATGCTAGTGTAAATCTTGAATAATGTTAGAATTAGACTATACTGTACACACAATAGGCATCTTGAATACTGCATAGGAAATCTGCAGAAAATTTGGTAATGCCCTTTTAAGTCTATTCTTTGAAGATAATACATCAGCAGAAATGAGCTTATTTGTTTAAAAAAAAAAAGATTTTTGTGAATACCTTTGCCATTAGCCATATTTTAAATAGCTTAAGATGTCATTTCTATCTTGACACTCTAGCAGTTTAAAGTAAATATTTATTAAAGAAGTTTTTGTCTGTTTAGTAAATGAGATAAACTTAAACAGTAAAATACATCTCATTAGCCAGTAAAAAACCTGGCATTTAAGATGAATGACTTTAAAAATACTAATGTCACTTTCATCTAAGTCTCTGTTATGGTTTCATATACAATCTATATTTTCATGTACTGGATCTGACAGTTTCTAAAATCATTTGACTGTTGTGGTTCCTTTAAAACCTAAATCACTACAAAGTTTCAGTGTATTAGTTGATTCAAATAATCTTACGAACTGATTACTCTAAAGCGGCTGTATCAATTTAGACAAATCTGTCTCCATCTCCGAAAGCTGATCTATAGAAAGGCCTACCTGGATGTTAGTCAGAAGGGTCTCTATGGAGGACAATCCATCAGGGAACAGAAAAGGAGATGGAAAACCTGGAGGTAGTGGTTGCCCATGCCCAGTTAGAGAAAGTTTGTCAAGGCTGTCTCTTGCGGTTGGTGTGGAGAGCGGGGTCTCATCTGTATGTGATTGAAACAAAAATATAGAACAAGTTACGCTTGTCTGTTTTTATTAGACCTCAGTAATGGCTTCCCTAGTGGTTTCCAGAACATTTATTGCAAATTGGTTCCTGCTATCAGGAGAAAATGCTTTCTGCTGAATTTTCTTTAATGAAAAAGCTGTGGAGATACAACAAGATAACATTAATGAGTAACTTTATAAGCCTTTTAAATGCAGTCTCTAATGAGACTGAGTTTACAGTGCCATAGAATCTTTTTAAAACAAATATTATCTCACATATACTTATGATAATATATTCAGGCTGACTTTATAGGCACCTTCCAAATTATCTCATTTTAGTTTGTGTTCTATTTGGATTGACAATAACATATTTTCAAGCATGACATATATTTTGTATACGAGTAGCATTTGAATACAGGCAGCCTCCCCATACTGTTAATTCTTCTTACTCATGACATATTCATATGTGACTTTAAAGATCCTGCAAAACAGGGCAAAACTACAATCCTTCACGCAGGGAAAGTAGACTTGATTCCTACAATTCAAACTTGCTCTAAACAATAACTGAAATTAAGAGTATGTTTACAATCATTGGCCTTATTTTTTTAAACATGGACATCTTTTAACGATTAGTGCTGGACTCCTGAGTAGAATCTTTGTAATAATGAGAACTGATTACTTGTGACATCACAATGGGAAAAACTGCCACAGCTAGAAGACTTTTACGATTAATTTTTTTCTGATAATCTGTGAGTCAATAAAACAGGAACAGATGCAAAAACAGTATTTTACAGGAACTTCAATAGTCAAATATTCTTTCACAATTTGAAAATGTTATATTCTGCTGTTGATACGTTATAGATATTGGGCCAATTTTATGACACCAAGCATTTATCTTGCCCCCTAGGAGAAAAAAAATCTATCTATATAAATTATATTTACCAACGGCTTGATTATACCCTATTGAAAATCCTCATACAAATTAACCGAAACATATTGAGGAATCTCTATACCAGTGGCGGGCAACCTGTGGCCCACTTCCCACAGTTCCCATTGGCTGGGAACGGTGAACCATAGCCTCTGGGAACTGTGGGTGGCCGTGCTTGCGGACAGGCAATGTAAACACTGTCTCGCGGTCCGCCAGTGGATTACCCGGATGGGCCACAGATTTCCCACCACCGCTCTATACTACATAAGGGCAAAGGAACTTACTCCTGATACTGACTTTTTGCAGATCTTTGCATAATAATCTGACTGTGGAAGGGTTTATCAGATCTGCCCTTCATATAAAGATCAATATATGTGCATTTTCCCTTGTGTTGTACTTAAATTTAGTTTTAAGACAGCAGAGTCATTTTTTTCACCACTCAACAAGTACTAGCATATGCATTGGGAATTGAATTGCATAAAGTTCTGATACTCATTATGTCTATAATGATTTGGTGAAGAAGTGGGGACTTTATTTTCTTATGTACACATAATGAAGAACTAAATGGCAATATTACAATAGAAAGCCTTGGGGCAAATCAACAAAGTAAGAATTTGTTCCTTGTTTTCCCCCTTGCTCCAGAAAAAAAATAATCTGTGTCAACCTTTATCAGGTGCAGATTTCTTTCTATCTCCATACCAGTTCAGATGTGCCAGCCAGAACTTTGAGGGGGTGGAGACAAGGTTTCACCCATTATATGCCCCTGCATACTCTCTCCTGCCTAGCCACGCAGAGTAGGAATTAGTGGTCATATGGAGATTGCTCTCCCTGCTGTGCATCATAATGGAAGCAGCCTACATATGGGAATAAGAGGGAGCCTTATGCCTTCACTCCCTGTGCAAATGCATGGAGCAAATTATATCTTCCCTTTACAGCATCATCATACATCCTGCACGATGTGATTGTGTATGACATATTGGTGATGGCCAAAAGGAAAGCTTTCAACAGTAGTCATACAAGATTTTGTAACTGATCAATATTTCTATGTGTTTTCCAAGCACGTCACAGACAGGTATGAAAAGCTAGCTGCAGATTTTTGAATTGTTACCCATACAACTCCTATAGAACTAAAGTTGGCTCTGTAGCAGATGCTCTGTGGCTGTATGCTTCCCCTCACCTCCCTTCTTTTTTCTCCTTCCACCACCCCACACATCTTCTTCGCTACTTGATGGGAACTGCATTGAGGGCTTGGCCCTAAATCTGGAAAATTTCTATTGGCCACCACCTTTACTATATTCTAGAAATAGTCATCACTTCATTAGAAAAAATAAATGCTAGACACTGCAGCTGAATCCAGTGCTGTAAGAATTTATGGAGCAGTGACCACACACAGGTAAATTTTTCTCCCCAAATTCCTTCTAGTTATGAGCAATTATTACAGCATATTTGTTCCAAATTCCTGTCTGAATAGATAATTAAATTTGTTAATTGAAAAAAAAAATCAAAAAGCATCTGTACAACATATTGATAAAGGCTAATCAAAGTCTCATACAAGCACAAGTTTTCAGAACCACTTATTTTTTACTTGTATTGCTGTAGAAATTCTTTTTCAGTTGCAAACTTGGGCTTTGACAAATGAATATTACACTGCCAAAATAATTTACAAAACTCTCAGCATTTGTTTAATCCTAATTTAAACTGCGTATTATTTATATACAATTCATATATACTTTTTTTATTTTTTAATCAGTTCACTCTGTTTTAAGGGTAAAGTCTTGCTCATATGAGCAGTCCCACCAAGGTCACTGGGACTACCTGCATAATATGCCAAGGAAGATCTGGCCCTAACTATTCCTGCTCCTCCCCAAAACAGTGCAGCACAATAAATAAAATAACTTTTTTTTTTAAAAAAGGATACAATGTAGAATGTTTCTACCCACATCAGGAAGATGGGCCAGGAACCTTTTATACTATCTGAAGCTGTATGGACTCTAATTAATAGTTTTGATTCTAGATATGTACAAACATATTAAAACAGTATGCACAAATGATCCACTGAAAGTCTTAGGCCCTGATCCTGCTGGAATATATAGTATTCCGTACAAATGCAGACTCCCCTGCCCCTACACAGGCGTCACTGGAGGATCCATATCCAAGGCCAGAGATTGTAACTTCTCTGTAATGTTATTACATTGCTAACCAAAACATAATGAATAATAGTTTTTATATATTTTAAAGCTCTCTGTAATGTGTGTGGTCATAGCAAGATGAGTTTGCAAAGGTTTCTTAGAATTGTTAGGCAGTTTCCCAATATTCAAAATACTCAAAGATTTACAACTACATGGAATGTATTAGTTCTCAGTAATGTCCAAGCACCAACTTTCTAATAAATAACAATATCGGTTTTACACTGCAAGGTAGGACTAGAGAGCTGAACTCACTATGAACTTATTTTAATGAAACTTTAACTGAGGGGGAAAAAACAGACTAATGTGACTTTGTTTTCTTGATGTCCCATGTGAAATAAACTTTCAGTGTGAGTATGTCTGAAATAGAGCAAATGTACATACTATACACAGGAAGCATGGATATTTGTGGATGTGAGATAAGCGATGATTGAGAGAATCTTGAAAAAAATGTGTTTTTAAGCAAAACCACAATGTAAACATTAGCCAATTAAAACATAACCGCATCTCTTAGTAGCAAAATAATATGACCCCTGCTATTAAAGTATTTAAAAAATCGTTTAGTCCTGCAGGCCCTCTCATCACAATGCAATGATGTAACCTTGTTTCTCAAAAATCATTAACCCACCATCTTAAAGTGGACGTATACTCTTCCGCTGACAGCTATGTGATGGAAAATAAGGAAACGATTTTGCAAAGAGGTGCAAAGGACTATAAGTGCCCCTCAATCCACCATCTGGGGAATGTCCCCAACACAAGAATGCCTTTGCAAGAGCTAGACATCTGCTTTTCTGGTCTGCACCCACCAGAGAAGTTCTGGGGTGGGCCAGGCATTGCGTCAGGGGCAGAAGGAAAAGTGGAGCAATCTGGAACCCCCCAAGATTCTGAGTTGCTTCAATGCCCCCTTTAGGGTCCACGGCCACAGCGGGGCAAATTAGAGTAGCCCTCAGGCTTGTGCTAAGAACTGAACCAGTATAAATCAGCACATGAATAGAGATAGCACAAGCTACTTCTTCCTGTGGGCCTGCACAGGGAATCTGGCCACTGATATAAAACTTACACCACTGTAGGCTCACTTCATTCACCCACTTAATATGAGTAACTAACATCACCTGTTTTTAAAATATCTGTACACACACATTTTTAAGAGATATTTTTTTCTTGTTTAATCACTTTTTCTATGTTTTGAAAATTCACGTGGTTTTGTTCAAATCAGTTTTTAATCTGACAACAACAGCCGGTTTGGGCCAAATATAACAATCAGCATTTTGTACTGCATTTGGTTTACTGCCATTCTGCTTTATTTTCTCTCACCAATTAGCACAGAAACATTCATCCAGGAAGCTGTGATATTTATTCAAATAATAACAGATAAATAGTGGCGGTTACTCTCTTGTTTGTATCCTTAAAAGCAAGCGTGGCAACTTCAGCATTGTCACAAAATTAGACAACCTTGAAATGGTCAGACTTTGAGAGTGAGAGATATAATCAACTACATAAAATATCATACTGGGCATTGCATTTGCATAATCACTTACTTTTAATGCTTTTCTGTTCCACAATGAAATGTTTAAAACTTAACTGTTCTTTATTACGATTGCCATGATACGGCTCAGCTTAATTGCTGAGGCAGGGATCATTCTTTCAAAATATAAATCTGCTTTTTGTGTTTTTGCATAATAATGTATCCTGTTTTATTTAGTATGGTTTTCTGTGTACATGTTAAGAGTTTAGGAACCTGTTTCACTACAGATGGATACAAGCTGCAAACTTTGGTTCTGGATCCAAATCTGAACTTTCCGAACATTAGACATGCTCAGATCTAGAGATTTAATTTCAGCCTTTCTCTTCAAATTGTGGAATCTGTTTTAATTAATTAGCTTGT